CCGCTCATATGATTGTAAAGCGCTTTGGGTGTTCAGCAATACACAATATAAGCGCTAAATGCCTTATTCATTCATTCATTCAATGTTATTCAATATTTTTGGCTATTGCTTCAAATATACCCGTGCTACTTATGACTGGTTTTGTGGTCCAGGGTCACATTTGTTACAGGGGCTGTGTTTCCATTTTTGGGATTTTAGCCATTTTATTGATTTAGACTGTGAGAGTCAAGAAACATGGGTGGGTGGAAGGACGAATCGGATCAGGAAATGACCCAACCTGGATTCGAAGTCTCCCACATACACAACATGTCGAAGCACATGCTCTACCCATCAGGCCATGCCTCTGACCTTTTGTAGCAGTTTATTTCTGAATAGAACATTAGTCAAGGCTTCTCGCAGCAAAATCAGTTGTAATTTTATTTTGTGAGACATTTCCTCTATCTCGGTTCTTTAGAATGAAACAGTCTGGTTTTGCTTAATCTTTTAAGACTTCTAAATGTAAATGATTGGCTAATTTTTTGAATGTGAAAACTACTGTTGAAAATATACTGATAGCATTGGTATGTAAATGAGGTCGGCCTTATTCTAATATTCTCGTGGTCCTGACATGTCAACCGTGATGATTGATCTTTAAATGACCCTTTCGTTTTCATAACTTTATGGTTAAGCAATATTCACAAGGGTGTGAATGGCCAAACTCTGCAGATATTCAGTACAATAATCCAATTTGTGAGTGTGGTATTGCTTTTATACAACAGTTATATGTACAAGAAGTTATATCACATATTTTTTAATCCGCCAATAAAAATAGTTCCAAATAACAATTACAAATTAAATAAAGAATCATTTAAATCATCAAGCAAAAAAAAAAAAAAAGGAACAAAGTGAGCGGCGCAAAAGCAGTTTCACATTTCCACTCAAAGCGTTTTTTTAATCAGTCCATACCAGCAGCACTCCAAGATTTTCATTTTTCATTCCAATCACCGGGGAGCGAAACCAGTAATGAGTGATCCTGCAAATATTCTTTCAACAGTCTTTCGCAAACTTTCAAAAAACCCCCTCTTTGCTCAAGGAAAAAAATCCCACAACTCCACACGCTGCTCAGCCAATCGAATTGGAGGACCAGAACTAATTATTTTATAATATTGTTTTTTTCTGATTTAGAATTTCTTATGTGCTTTTGGTTTTACCACTGAAGCTTTGGTGTTTACAACTGTACAGTTTGGTATTAGTTAATAGAGGGATATCGTTTGCTTACATTGATTTAACTAGTGCTGTTATTGTTAACTTACGGAGCTGTGCACATGACATGCAGGAAGAAAAAAAAAGTCAATCTTGTGTACGATTTACTAATTCGTTCCCTCGTTTTACTAAATTGTTTGTACGTTTTACTAATTCGTTCCCTCGTTTACTAAATTGTTTGTACGATTTACTAATTCGTTCCCTCGTTTACTAAATTGTTTGTACGATTTACTAATTCGTTCCCTCGTTTACTAAATTGTTTGTACGATTTACTAATTCGTTCCCTCGTTTACTAAATTGTTTGTACGATTTACTAATTCGTTCCCTCGTTTACTAAATTGTTTGTACGATTTACTAATTCGTTCCCTCGTTTACTAAATTGTTTGTACGATTTACTAATTCGTTCCCTCGTTTACTAAATTGTTTGTACGATTTACTAATTCGTTCCCTCGTTTACTAAATTGTTTGTACGATTTACTAATTCGTTCCCTCGTTTACTAAATTGTTTGTACGATTTACTAATTCGTTCCCTCGTTTACTAAATTGTTTGTACGATTTACTAATTCGTTCCCTCGTTTACTAAATTGTTTGTACGATTTACTAATTCGTTCCCTCGTTTACTAAATTGTTTGTACGATTTACTAATTCGTTCCCTCGTTTACTAAATTGTTTGTACGATTTACTAATTCGTTCCCTCGTTTACTAAATTGTTTGTACGATTTACTAATTCGTTCCCTCGTTTACTAAATTGTTTGTACGATTTACTAATTCGTTCCCTCGTTTACTAAATTGTTTGTACGATTTACTAATTCGTTCCCTCGTTTACTAAATTGTTTGTACGATTTACTAATTCGTTCCCTCGTTTACTAAATTGTTTGTACGATTTACTAATTCGTTCCCTCGTTTACTAAATTGTTTGTACGATTTACTAATTCGTTCCCTCGTTTACTAAATTGTTTGTACGATTTACTAATTCGTTCCCTCGTTTACTAAATTGTTTGTACGATTTACTAATTCGTTCCCTCGTTTACTAAATTGTTTGTACGATTTACTAATTCGTTCCCTCGTTTACTAAATTGTTTGTACGATTTACTAATTCGTTCCCTCGTTTACTAAATTGTTTGTACGATTTACTAATTCGTTCCCTCGTTTACTAAATTGTTTGTACGATTTACTAATTCGTTCCCTCGTTTACTAAATTGTTTGTACGATTTACTAATTCGTTCCCTCGTTTACTAAATTGTTTGTACGATTTACTAATTCGTTCCCTCGTTTACTAAATTGTTTGTACGATTTACTAATTCGTTCCCTCGTTTACTAAATTGTTTGTACGATTTACTAATTCGTTCCCTCGTTTACTAAATTGTTTGTACGATTTACTAATTCGTTCCCTCGTTTACTAAATTGTTTGTACGATTTACTAATTCGTTCCCTCGTTTACTAAATTGTTTGTACGATTTACTAATTCGTTCCCTCGTTTACTAAATTGTTTGTACGATTTACTAATTCGTTCCCTCGTTTACTAAATTGTTTGTACGATTTACTAATTCGTTCCCTCGTTTACTAAATTGTTTGTACGATTTACTAATTCGTTCCCTCGTTTACTAAATTGTTTGTACGATTTACTAATTCGTTCCCTCGTTTACTAAATTGTTTGTACGATTTACTAATTCGTTCCCTCGTTTACTAAATTGTTTGTACGATTTACTAATTCGTTCCCTCGTTTACTAAATTGTTTGTACGATTTACTAATTCGCTCCCTCGTTTTACTAAATTGTTTGTACGATTTACTAATTCATTCCCTCGTTTACTAAATTGTTTGTATGTTTTAATAATTAATTCCCTCGGTTTACTAAATTGTTTGTACGTTTTAATAATTCGTTTGTTTTAATAATTCATTCCCTCGGTTTACTAAATTGTTTGTACGTTTTAATAATTCGTTCCCTCGGTTTACTAAATTGTTTGTACGATTTACTAATTCGATTTACTAACTTCCTGTCCACATTCTCATAAACCAATGTAGATTCCATGGAAAGCTGCAAGGCTTTTGAGAATGTCTCTATTTCATTCCCAACTCAAAATTAAACCCAATTAAAGTGTCTGCAACAGTTTTATGAGAATGCGGACAGGAAGCAGAACAAATTATTTTGTTCACATGATTTGCTTAAAACGAGGGAACATATTATTATATCAAGCACATGATTTACTTAAACAGAGCAAACAAATTAGTCAATCGCACAATTTATGATTTTTTTTCCTGCATGTCATCTGCGGGCCTCCGTATTAACTAAAACTTTAAAAAAATATTTTTTATTAATTAAAAAAACAAAAATAAAATATAAATATTAGATGGAAACTGATGGAGCAGGAATAAAATAAGTTTAATTTGAAGTACTTAAATCACTAAAACTTAAACAAAATCACCAAAACATAACCTAAAATTAAAAAATTATTAAAATAACAACTAATTAAAAAAATATTAATAAATACTATAAAACGGTATAAATAATATTAAAACAACACTGGGTTATACAACTTTTGAATTGCCCAAATAGTTTTTTTTAAACAAGTAAACCAAACATAAAATGTCAAAATTCTGCACATTCTTTATCGTTTAGCACAAGAACTCCAACACGGTCACAAAAAAGCTCTAAAATTAGAAACCGACAAGAAGACAATTACGACGGTATTCCCTGAGCTGTAATTACCTTGCACAGGAAATGCAACACAAATGGAGACATTTCCTCTTGAGGTTGGCTATCTGAAGGCAGCATCACGTGCCAGCCATCTTATAGCTGAATAGATTGTACTCTTGATCCGCCCCCCTCGCAGACAATTTGCAGCTAATGGATGCATTTGTAAGCTTGTTAGACATCGTCCTCAAGGAATTGATGCGCTGCTGAAATTTCCCTTCTGCACTGAAAACAGTCCTTTAATGCGCCACAGGGGCTTTTGATTGGTTTTGTGTACTCGTCACACAGGTCCGTGTCATTAACTCACAGATAATCTCACCATCCGAGTATGGCGGGGAAATAAGAATTCCGTTTTGGAATACATTTGAATTTATTCCCTTTTTTGGTAATATCGCTTAATCATGGTTGGTTTTACAGGTTTGAATTGGATACTGCAAAATATTTACATCCAAATTTGGCATAAGAAGTGGTTTTTAGGGTGTTTTGGGTGGTTTCTCATATTTGTTCAGATTCCCACTTGTCATTTTGACTGAAAATGTGATATTCGTGTGTTTCAGTGGGCATCTGGAGAGCCTCCTGTTTCCGCCTCCTCGTGTTGCTTTACTACCATGAGCAGTTCCACTCCATCCACAGGTACTGTCTGTTCCTCAACATCACTTCCATTTTTAGAGATGATTTGACTTGGCCTTTTTGTTGAGTTATTCATGCGAGGTATTACGTTCAGTTTCAAATTTAAAGACCACATGAAATAAACATCAGTGTTCGCAATTGATGCCAAATGTGTTTTCATAATGCTTCATTAAAATTGAATAACTTTCCCCACCTCTGACATGACTTTGCTTTTCTGCTAATGTAACCAAGGGTGTACAAATGAGACAAAATAATACTTTATTCTGATTGGTTACAGCATTGAGCACTAATGACGTTCCAGCCAATTGATTTCCTACATATAGCGGCTGTGCTAGTTGACTCATATCACTTACATACTAAAATTATTTGAACTCAAATCAATATTTCATGTCCATTTATTTATTTTCTATGTGAGTAATAAGCTGGATAATGTACACTACAATCAGCCGCTCATTATCACACAAACCTCCGTTTTGCCTTGGGGTCCTGATTAGCATGCAGAGGTTTATTTTGCGATAATGACAAACAGACTGTAAATTATCCCTTATGTTTTAGCCAGGTGTGTTATGAATATGAATTTTGATACGTTCGGAAATCTTACAAAAGTAAAAAGGTAATGAAGTTTTAGCAAACGCTGTTTCATGTCGACATTCTTCATACTTTTTCATGTAAAGTGTAAATCAGCCTATTCAAACTTTTTGCAAACAGATGAATTTGCGACAGTTGGTTCGATGTAAAAAATAATAGTAATAATCATAATATCTTAAGTCTAAAGTTAAATTCAGGCAATGTTATGGACAGCGGCTTCTAAAAATCATACTGGCACAAAATGTATTATAAAAAGAAATTGTAATTGCTTTTTAACAGCACTGAAAACGAACCCTTCAGTGATCAGTGTGCGGTGGTGAAATGGTTGGTGAGTGTATTAGCTGTTATTTGAGCATCTGAATGGAGATAAAATGGAGGGCAGCGAGAAATGACCCCATCTTCTTTCTCTCGCTCACTCATCCTCCCCCTGGTAAACAATAATCCTTAATATGTTGTTGTGCTTTGGAAGGGGAAACAGCGTCTCTATTATTTTGGGAGTTTAAAGTGGGATAGCCTCCGGACAGCTTCTATATTTTGATATTTTCTGCTTCTCATAAAAGCAGCACAGTGCGTGCTTTTAGACGTGCTTGGCATTTTAGTGATCTGGCGAAATAATTGCAAAATGACGGCTTTAAATGTGGTCTAGCGTTGAATGGCTGGAATGATTTGCGGATGCATGTTGTGCTGAAACGAATGCAAAAAGAAACAGAGACGCTAGTATTGTTTTGAAGATCAAGGTTTGCACTTCTCTGTGAAGTATTGCCGTTTCTGGCATTTCCCATGAATCATTGCATTTCCTTGGTGTAGTCGTGGTATAGTCGATCTTTTTTTGGTTTATCGTTTGATTTTGAGACTGAATCGCCAAAGCCAGAAGGCAGAATTAGAGTGCGAGAAAGTATTCTGTAGGATTTAATGTTTTGAATACCTAGGTTTTGTCTGGTTAAATGCCATTGTTTTTAGATTAAATATATGATACGTATAAATATTCTTTCTATTCATTATGTAATGTTTTATACATTTTAAAATTATACAATACAATTATTTATACTTTTTAAAATACATTTGTTTATTATAAATAAATCAATAAATATTTGTATAACTTATTTTTAACATTATAAATCATATGGCCTTTAGGCACACTATTAAAGTTGTACCAAAATGTATGATTAAAAAAAAAACAAGAATGAAGCTCCACCCCTAAACAGTGTACAAAACATATGAATGAGATTGGTGATAATTCATAAAAATTCACCAAGATGTAAAGTAGTTATGAATTGCCATGAGAGTGTGCTGGAACTTTCCTTTGTCAATTTCAAAATCTACTGCCAGCCTTGTCCATGGATAATGCACTTTTTTCTCTTTTCAAATATTATTTTGTGTTTTATTTTTGTGATTTATTACCAGCCTAAGGTGGTTTACTGGTCTTATCCGGTTTATCTGGTCAAAACAGTCCTGCCTAACCAGCTTTGTCAGGCTTGGAGATCAGCTAACCACCTTAGGTTACACTGTTTTCTTGTGTAAGGTCAGCCGTTAAAAACCCTGTATCTGTCAACCGTTAATCAGAAATATCCTGTCATTAGCATTTAGCCCAATTTGTTCTGACACTGAATTCTACATTGAATTGAATTTGACCCTTATATTTTTCTCTGTAATGGAGTCAGCAGTATCATTGTTTGGGTTTCTTGACGCGAAACGGCCTTCTCAGTGCAACGTGGTTGTTGCTACGCAAAACTGGAGCCGTAACAAAGCTGACCATGAGTCTTTGTGCTGATAGCCCAATCTAGCTATCTTACATCAAGTTAAGTATAGTCCCTGCTGTTTAAAGCTGATGAAAATAGTTTTAAATAATTGTTTTCATTAATAAAATGGTAATAATTTAACTAGAAGGTGTCTTTACTCTTGCCTGAACACTTTTGATTAAAACCATGCTGTTCAATGAAAAGCTAATCATGCTCATACAGCAAAAATATATTTTTTAAAAATATTTTTCAAAATACAAAAACAAAACATGTATTTGCTCAAATATAGTTCAAAATATATTTACGTAAATATGTTTTTATTGTATATTTTTGAAAATGTATTTAAAAAATATACATTTTTTTAAAGCATTTAAAAATATTTTCTTCTATATATTTCTGTCCAAGAAAATGCATTAACGTCACATTTGAAGCAAAATTAGTTGTCTAACGTGTGAATATACATATATTGATATATTTCAAGAAACATATACTTTACAATGTTACAAAAATATTTTTATATAATATATGCATATAAATATATACAATAAAATAAAAACATTATTAAATCATTATAAATCTAGTTTTGATCTCTAATAGGCTATCCACATTTGCATTTAGCCTGTATTTTCTTGTTTTTAGCCTATATCTGTATGTATTTTCTTGCTTCTGATACAGTTTGAAATATATTTTGATATATGAATATATTGTCTATTTTAAAATATATTTAATTGAACTTCACTGTTTACAACATATAGCCATATAGGTGGGAGGATGTTTTCTGTCATTATGCGAAAATAAAATGCTAGTCCTTTACACTTTTCGGGAAGCTACTTGGAAGCTGTTAACTAGCCATCCATAAATTAAAGCAGCTAAACTATAGTCTATATATACACTTAAAAGATTCAGATCATCAAACAAATTTTAATATTACACAAAGATAATGCAAGTAAATGAAAAATGCAGTTTTGAAATTATGATTTCTTTTATTAAGGGAAAAAAGCTGTCCAAACCGGCCCACTCTTCTTTGCAGAATTGTTTTAATTCAGCCACATTGGAAAACCTTTTCACACCACTGTATATACACACACACACACACTAAAATTAAATTAGACTTTGGAAGTGTACTCCATTTGATAGCATTGATGGCTGTGCTGTCCATTGGCTGCGCTGTTTCCCTCCAGAAGTTGCCCAGCTAATAGGGAATATTCTTAGAATGTTCTGGCAAGGTTCTCCAGTGATGTTGATAGAACATTCATAATAAAACCAAATGTTCCCATCGATGTTGCCTTTAACGTTCACATAAATGAGAAAAAAAAAATTTTTACCATTAAAAAAACTAGATGTTTTCAGAGAACTTTCCGGAATTTATTTTTTTTATCATAACGTCTTAACAATAGCAAAACATTCTTGGAACATATTTTTGTTGCTGGGTATGAGTGATAAAATGTCTTTGTACTTGTTTAAACTAGTCGTTCAAATCTCATAACCGCCTCACACCAGCACTCGTCAACATAGCCGACTATTTCTATTTTTGTTGCATCTCTAGTAGTTGTGTTGTTTCTTAAGGTTTTGATTGTTTAATTACTCTACTAAACAAAGTTTAGTTTGTTAGTCTAGTTAGTTGAGTTTAGTTTATCCCAACCCTGATCCTGCAGTCACTGCTTTTTCCTACGGCTGTAGTTTATGAACTCCTGCACATCAGAGCCCGCGATCTGAAAAGCATGTAGGACCGGATCCTTTTTCCCATGTGAAGCAAACCTTGTGTTCCGGCACATCAAGCATATGAGAGCCCAAAGGCTCGGAGTCGTTCCACCTTGGCAAACACATGCACACTTGATTGCTGTCTACTGGGACAACTCTGCCAGAACAATACAAGAGCATTTCTGCCCTGTCAAACCTGACATACTCCCTCTTGCTCCAGGCAAAGTTGACAGTACAGCCCATAACCATGAGTTAAAGCTGATCAGACATGTTTGACTGGGCTTTGGGTGTGTGTGTGCAAGTGTGTAACCAGCCTTTATCAAACTGAACTCTACTCTGTTCTTACTCTTAGCACGTGATGGATCATAAACGTTCTGAATTTTCATTGGGAGTGGTTGTGACAAAGCGACAGGCAGGTGGAACGGCGCAAAGGTAACGCTTGCGGTGAAGCACGGCATTCCAGGAATGTCAGATATGGGAATTGTTGATGGGAAGTCACAGAGAGCTCGGTTGCGAACAGCATTCCATGAATTCTGTGGTGTCCTAGCAACAGTTTTACTGTAGTGGGATTCACTGAATTAACAGTGACAGCAAGGAAAAGATTCTTCTCTAGACTCTTGGGTGATGCATAGACGAATATCATGGAAAACGGATGCTTTCTGCAAACAGATAATGCTGCGCTGGAGAAATCCTGCCATTTGCTGAACAACTTCCTCATGCTGTTTTGGCTTTGTTTGTTGCGCAAACAGAGTTTAATGTTTGTCTAGAGTTGTTTGTATATTGTAATGACACCTCTTCAGGCAAACTAAAACGTAAATTTATCCTTATTCTAACTCTAGTAATAGCAAGTTTGGACCGATTTTAACCAGTCTCATATAACAGAATGTGAAAAGAAATGTACAATGACGCTTGCAGTTGCAATGGCATTGGGTCGAGACCATGGCTTAGTGGTTAGCATATGCGCCCTGCTTGCAA